GGGACGGCCCCCCCCCCCCCCCCCCCCGCCGATTCCTTCATTGATCATGTTCTCTTCCCCCTACAAAATGGCCCAGCTCACTGTCCACCTATCCCTCGTGGTCCTCTTGCGCCATGTGGTCTAGCAATTTCAATCTGTTGCTGCTCTATCTCACCACCCCCCCACACCCCGCGGCCCTGTGACCTCCTCCTGGGCAGGGACCTTTATTAAGGTCCACTCCTTTATTAAATAAACAAACAAACAAACAAATAAAAGAGTGCACTGGTCACTGTGGGAGTAATGAGAGCAAACACAGACCCTCTCGTTCTTGTTTTCATGGGAAGTCTGGGAGATTAATGTTCCAGCTGTGTCTGGATTCCTGAAAACTGCCCCTGAAGGATGGGCGGCTTCTAAAATCCAACATTTTCAAGTGAAAGTTCAGGCAATGAAAATTCAGAGCATATGGTTGGGCCACGGCAGTAAGTCGGCCATGGCCTCATGCCCAGATCCATGGAAAAATAATAAAATGAGGCAGCCTCCCCACTCCTCACCCTAAGAACTGGACAGACAGCTGCCTGCCAGTCCGTTCCCCTTCCTGCTTGCTGGTCTGCTTACAGGAGGGGAGGACTTGGGTCTTCCCTGATTCCCCCGTCAGGCAGACATGCAGGAGCAGGAAGAGTGTCCCTCCCAGAAACCCCCACTTCCGATCGCTCACCCAGTCACTCATCTCATCAGACTCTCCGAGTCCTCCTGGGGGCCCAGCCCGGCGCAGAGAGCAGTCAGATGCCCTGTGAGACAGAAACCTCTGGCCAAGGCAGAGGGACCCCAGGAGGGTCAGGGTGCTGAAGAAGGCTTCCCAGGGGAGGTGACAGATGAGCTGGGCCTGGAAGGGGAGCAGAGTTGGGCTGGGACTAGGGGGGAGGGTGGGGACCCCCAGAGCGGTAATGAAGAAGGCAGCAGTGGAACTAGAGAGCAGGTGACAGAACTGGATGGTTGTCAGCCCCGAGTGCCAAGGAACAGAATGTGGCGTTATCGCGGGAGCGGTAGGAAGCCATGAGCTGCTTCCAAAGCGTGGAAACCGGGCTCCGGTCTGCACTCTGAGACGATAACTCCCTGCCAAGGATGGCTTATAGTACAGAAGGCCTATTCTCATGTAAAACGCACCGGAGGCTAGTGAGGACAAAGTAACTGACAAGTTTGAGCCCGTGCGCTGCACCGAGCAACACGTGCCACGACGCTTTACGTGCTTCGCTCAGTTCTCCCGACAAGAGGTCAGCGCTGCACAGTGTGGAGACCCACACACGGGGGTTACCCGCTGAGGTCACCCAGTCAGTGAGAAGTGGAACCTGGACTTGACCCCCGGCAGCCCAGCTCCAGAGCGTGTCCGGTACCCTACCTCCTATCTGGAAGGCTCGGGGCTCTTTCTTGGCATTGAACTTGGCCCCAAACCCTATGGCAGGGCCTGGACTCTGGTCAGACCAGGCATTCCCACGGTGGGGGACAGGCACGAACCTCAAACTTGAAGCATCCCCTGCTCAAATAAATTTTCCAAGAAGCTCACAACCCCAAAACAAAGCACAAGGACAACCCACACCATACTCCAGGCCTGGCTCTCCCAGATAAAACTGGCTGCAAAACCAGGAATAAAGCAGTCCCTGAGCAGCGGCTCTTAACAGCCCCGCCAGAGAGTGCCTGCCAGCAGGGGCCTCCGTGCACCTTCCCACAATGTTCTTCGTTAGGTTTTGACTCTTCCTTTGGCAGGTCCCAGTCTAACCAAACCAGTAAACAGGAAACAACCCACCCAGTGCCGTCAGACAGTCAACGCACCTTGAATCTGCACTGTACACTCTACACTATGGACTGAAGGATGGTCCTGAAAAAGATAACCTTGCCCACGAGGCTTGGTTTGGCCTCAGGGTCCTTCTTATCTCTGAAGCGAGGAAGGATACCACCCACCCCTGGGAGAAAGCTCCTTTCTTCTCCCTCCAGGTCCAGGTGAGACATCCCTGGGGGTAGCTGTCACACTCCCCAACATCTGTCCACAGAGGCTCACGGGGGCAACTCCCTCTCGCTGCCTGTGACTCCCTGGCAAGCTGGGGGCTGGTGCAGAGGTGATGGGAGGGGGTGTAGGACGCTGCTCAGGGACCTGGCCCTTGTCACCTCAGCCCCTGTCCTACCTGAGCATCTCCAAAAGGGATACAGAAAGCTGGGGCTTCCCACGGCGGAGACAAAGAACAGAGGAACTCACAGGGACAGAGAGCGGAGCCCGGACAAGAACCCAGGGCTCCTGTCTCCCCACACGCCCCCGCCGGCCTCAAGCCACCAGCCCCAGCAGCCACTGTGGCCTGTTTACCCCGGCGACTCCGGTGCAGGAGCAAACACAGTCAACACCAATAACACCAATATCACCACCACTGTCACCACACGGCACTCACTGCGCACCAGGTTACGTGCCCTACAACTCCGCTTCAGCCTCCAAACCTTCGGGACGGCCTCTGTCATCTTCCCCAGTTCTCGGCTAGGGTCACTGAGGCACGGGGAGCACAGCAGATCTGCTCGCAGTCGTGCAGCTGGAAAGGGGCAGGGGCCAGCTCGCGACCACGCACGACACCGTTCTAAAAGCTCCCACCTGTGCTGGCCAGAAACAAGAAAAAGGGACTCACCAGCTAGGCGCAGGCAGGCCCCAGGCCCAGTGGGTCTGGGAGCTCGGAGGAGATTGCTACTGGAAGGAGGAGTTGGGCTGGTGTGAAAGCAGAGCGGCCTCCCTGCCTCTGTGAGGGTCCTCGCCCCTCCTGGCCAGCTGCTCGGCACTGGCGGGGTGAGCTGTGGGCACACTCTGGCACTCAAGGAAATGCTTCCTGCAATGGCAGCAGCTGCTACGGCCGCAGCTCTGATTCCCAGAGGATCCCAAAGCTTTTCCCATCATTTTTGCCCTTTTTCAGAAACCACTTAGCCGCTGCCCCTCCTCCAGCCATGCCAGGGCCGTGGTGCACTTACCAGAGCTGCCACAGCACGAAGCCAGCCAGAGCCTTGACCTCAGCTCTCAGGGCTGCCAGGAGGCGCTGCTCAGCCTCTGGGAACCACCGTCCTGCACGCTGAGCCTCGGAGATAGCTCCCCAAATGCGCTTTCACAACCCCCGCATCCTGAACAGCTCTGTTTCCAGAATGAAGAAGGGATGGGGCCGTCATGTCACCTATCTTGCAGTCCTGGACTGTCACTTAGAGGCTGTTTGGAGACCATGTGCAAACTTAACCCAGTCCCTGCTTCTCTTGAACCCCTGGTTTTCTGTGTGCCCAAATTTGGGATGAGGATTGAGGTGAGGACCTTTCTCCACTGGGGGTCTTCAGTGAACCACAGAACCCAGCACTGTGTCTATTTTCCTGCGTCACCAGCAGCACTCTAAGTGCACGGGAGAGAAGTGACACTCTCACAGACCATGGATAAATAGGACATTAGGACTTCATTCTCTCCCCGAACCCGGCTGAGAAAAGGTGCAACTCTTCCTGGGAGTGAACACAGGCTGCAACCCCAGATGTTCTGCAGAAGCCATCCTAGCAGCTGCCTATAGGAACCTTATGGGACCCCAGGAAGCCATGGATCAGATGCAACCTGTCAGCCTGCCTGGAGTAGCTGGGTAGATCCGACCCCCGAGTCAAGGCATTCAGGTGCAGACACCCCATGATTCTACAGGTCAGATTGCAAAGAGCATTCTCAAACCCACTCTCCCAGCCCGGGCCCTATAACAACCCTGCTCGGTAGGAGCAGAGACTGCCGTACCCAGTTTTTCAGGTGAGAAATCCATGACACCAAGCAATCAGAACACTGCCCAGGTCACACTGCCGGGCTGGGCATGGACTCCAGGCCACACCCCTGTTATACGTGCATGTTAGCTCTCACTGAAGCTGCATGGTTCCCTCTGAACCTTAGAATTATTCTTTTAAAAAAGAATAGTGGTAAAATTCATGTATATGAGGAAATGTAGCATATTAACCATTTTTAAGTTGTAATTTGGTGACATTAAGCACATCCACAGTGCTGTGCCACTGTCCATCTGTAACTTTGTATCACCCCAAAGGAAACTCAGCACCACTTAAACTACAACTCCCGGCTCCTCTTCCCCCCAGCCCACACGCCCCAGTCTACCTCTGCCTCTATGGATTTAACTAGTCGAGGCCCTCCAGTGAGTGGAACCACAGAGTATTTGTCTT